GTATCCTATGATCACTTAAAATTTTTTGAATGTAAGGCATTTGTGTACGTTCCTAAAAATGAGTTATCTAAGCTTGATGTGAAGACAAGACAGCTTTATCTTCTTAGGGTACGATCAAGATGAGTTTGACTACAAGTCGTATGATCCACTTGAAAAAAAGATAGTCGAAGTCATGAAGTTGTATTTCTAGAGGATTAGACCATACAAAATATTGAGAAGGTAGAACGGACGATAGTCGAGTCTTATGATCATCTAGTAGATATTGAACTAGTAGAGCCAAATCATTCCGCATCAATAGTTAAGCTCGTTGAACATGATATGCAAGATGATTCATAGATCGAGCAAGTATTATAGAATGATAATGATTTGTAAGAAAATAGTCGGATTTATGATGATGCATCGAGTGATGAACGGGATCGGATAATTAACATTGTGATGAACATGTTCCACTAGAAACTTCACTCAAATGATCTAACGGAGATCGAAGACCTTCTACAAGGTACTCTATTCATGAGTATGTATTATTCACTAACAAGTGGAGAACCCGAATTCTACAAGAAGTAACAAAAGATGAGAACAAAAAAAAATGGATTGAAGCCATGAATGATGAGATGAAATCTTTACATGAGAACAATACCTTTAAATTGGTAAGACTACTCAATGGTAGAAGAGCTTTGAAAAATAAGTGAGTGCTTAGAATCAAGCATGAAGAACACACTACACATCTTCGATTCAAAGCAAGATTAGTAGTGAAGGGTTTTAGTCAAAAAAGAGGTATTGATTTTGAGGGGATATTGGTAAGTGGTTAGCTCTCCTTTTGCAACCCACTTTAAGCTAAGCATCCAACAAAGTCCTTTTACAAATGAGGAGAAAGAAGAGATACGAGAGAGTTTCATATGCTTCAGTTATTGAGAGTTTGATGTATGCCATGGTGTGTACAAAGCTCAACATTGCTCATGCTCGTTAGGGTAGTTAGTAAATTTTTGTCAAATCTAGAAAATGAGCATTGAAATGTAGTAAAGTGGATAATGCGATATCTTAAAGGCACAAGCAGTTTAAAATTGTCTTATGATGCTAGAAAATCAGACTTAATTAGCTATACAAATTCAAACATGACAGGAGACATTGATTCTCACAAGTCAACATCTCGTATATTTGATTACTTTTACAGGAGGAGCCGTGGCTTGGCAATCTAAACCGTAAAAGTGTGTTGCTCTTTCTACTACTAAAGCAAAATTCATTGTAGCAATAGAAGCTTGTAAAGAGTTGTTATGGATGAAGAAATATGTTCGGGAACTTAAGTTCAAGCAAGATATTTGTGATAGTCGAGTGATATACACCTTGATAAAAATTTTACATTTCATGCTAAATCAAAACAAATTGATATACGATACCATTAGATTAGAGATGTTTTGAATTCCAAGTTGTTGAAAATTGAGAAAATCCATACCGATGATAATGACTATGATATGTTGACTAAAGCATTACCAATGGTGTTGCTCTTTCTACTACTAAAGCAATATAGATCGTAAGAGTGTGTTGCTCTTTCCACTACTAAGGCAAAATTTATCGTAGCAACGAAGCTTGTAAAGAGTTACCGTGGATGAAGAAATATGTTCGGGAACTTGACTTTAAGCAATATATTTTATGATAGTCATAGTGTTATTCGCCTTGGTAAAAATTCTACATTTCATGCTAGATCGAAATAAATAGATATTCGATACCATTGGATTAGAGATGTTTTGAATTCCTAGTTGTTGGAACTTGAGAAAATTCATACCGATGATAATGACTTTGATATGTTGACTAAAGCATTACCAATGGAGAAACTTGGGGCTTGTCATTCAGTCATGGGGATGGTGAATACCTCCACCTATTCATGAGGGGGAGATTTGTTGGGTTTTCCTCTTAGTTGGAGGATGGCCCAAATGTTTGCCTACATGAACCTAATCTTAGAGTTCAAATGGAGGAGGAATTTTTTAATCATTTGAAAGATAATTTTGGCATTTCCAAATAATTCTTTTCTTCTTTTTTATTCTGAAATCGGACTAGGGAAGAAGGTAGGGAAAAAAAGAAAAAAAAAAAGGAGAGAGAGCCGCGACTTTAGAGAGAAAAAGGTAAGAAAGTTTTAGCATAGTCTAGTGACAAAAAAATTGAGTTTCGGATTTGTTAACTGTTAGATTGAGCTCAAATTTGGTGGGCACTTCAAGAGAGATAGACACACATTCCGAACGGTGAAGATCTAGTTTTGGGGCATAGAGAGGGAGATATAATCCTCATAATAGTGCCATTTTCCGGTAAAATCTAAACTTGGTTTCTTCTATTTTTTTGTCTATCATATGTTGATGTGGTTTGCCAAGGGTGTGTAATCTTTGATATTTGTAGATGATGTATTCCTCTAGTTTAATTTAGAAGGGACTCCTTGTATTGCTCATTATTATTGATAGCGAAAGTTATTGTGGATTTCGATCATGTGGTTTTTTTCTTCTTAAATTGAGGAGATTTTCCATGTAAAATTTGTATATTCCACGTATGATTGATATTTTGTTTTTCGGATTATTAGTTATTTTTTTTGGCTTGGTTATTTGGTTGTAGCCTCGTGTTTGATTGTTCAAGCAAAAGCAAAAAGGTTCCGTTGTGTTATTTGTGTTTTTTTGCCTAACGAGTTATAACGTCGGCAATCAATGATCGACACTTGACATTGTAAAGTAAAAAATTTTGAAAAGTAGAGGCGATGTGTCTATCATTGATTGATGATATTATAATAAAAAAATTTGAATCAAAAAATTTCAAAAAATAAAAAGTCTTAGTCGAGGTTAAAAAAAGTAGAAGGTCGATCTCATTAAAAAAAAAAAAAAAAAAAAAAAAAAAAAAAAAAAAAACGAAAGAAAAAGAAGTTAGAAAATCCATTAACAATTCAGTTGTATTCATAAGAAATAACTTTCGTCAGCTTTTTGAAGAATTTGAATTCCAATTGACAACATAAGAAACAATTCCACTTACCAATCCAATTAAGCTTCAAATAAATTTGTGTTCACTTTCTATGCATGCACGATTAGTACTATTAGCATAAGGCCAAATACCCACATATTATATCTTTTATTTTATCCAATAAAATAACTTGTTTTTTTTATTAATCGCAGGTTCTTGGGTTTTTATACTACATAATAAAAATACTCCTCCTCCCTTACGTATTTGCTCTACAAAAAAAAAAAAAAAAAAAATACAACACGTTTAATATATATATATATGCTGTTTCCAAAGAGGTGGCTGCGAAGAATGGTGAAGTTGTGCACTGACTTTTTTTGAAGTTAGCATGTTGGTACTTTGCATCACCCTTTCCTCTTGAGCACTCAACGTACGTACTTTATCATCTCAAGATCTGAACCATTTGCTTTTTAGCATCTCAACTTCTTTATTATGAATGAAGCTGAATAAGTATCTAATTAAATTAAGGAAAAGAAATAGAGCTGATCAAAATGAGAAAAAGAAAAAATATATGCTGCTGAGCACAACGATATATTATTGCCAAGATATATGCTGCTAAATAAGCATATCAACCTATAATTTCACGTTAATGAATGAAAAATTAAAAGAAGCCTATTGATTGAACAAATATATTTTCTACTTCCAATAGCAATAGCGATAGATATTTCAATATAGTTTATCAAAAAAACTAAAGAAATAATAATGAGATTGTAAGCTTGTAATAATGAGATTGTAAGCTTAATGTGAATGCTTGATTTTTAATACAACAAAAGCATAGTAATTAGAAATAAAAGTATGATATCAGGATTTTTAAGGCTTAAAACTTGCACAAGATCATATTATTTTGTACTTAGTTAATTAGAAGAGAAAGTGAGTATAATAAGATTTGAACTCGTGACTTTTTTATTATTAAAATTCTGGCATCATGTTAAAGAACTATCTCACTCAAATACTTAAGTTATTAAATGAGATCATAAAATATGATTTATATTATTATTTAAGAATAACCAACATGTAAAAACAAGTTTCATGCTGCATTCGTGTGCTGATTAAAGTGCATGTTTAAAAGCTTCCTGCAGTATTCGTGATTTAATGGAGCTGGGAAGAAAAGAATCAAGTAAAGTAGTTTCAATTAAATTACTGATGAAAAGAACAAAAGGTTAAAATTAAATAAAGTAAGTAAAGGAAAAAAAGAACATAGAAAAGATAGAGATAGAATTCATGGGGAGGCTTGAATTTTTATCCAGTTGAAATTAAAAGAAAAAATTGAAAATCAAGCAACCAGCTTCCTTGGCAATTTTTTTTTTTTTTTAAACTATAGGAACAAACTCTTCATAAAAAAAAAAACACACACACACAGGGGCCTGAATCAAGTATTATGAGAGATCAATCATTTATCACTTGTAGGATTAATATTTTATCACTTATTACTAGACATATTTTGCATGAAATTTTGCTATAATATTTTTTTTTTAAATCATTTTCCTTAAAAGTATCATCTGATTAGATTTTATGGGATAATTAAGTTATTAAATATGCCATTTTTTATTCTATTTTATTTACCATACATGAATGTATCATTAACAATTCAGATGTATTCATAAAAAATAACTTTCTTCAGCTTTTCGAAGAATTTGAATTCCAATTGACAGTATAAGAAACAATTCCACTAACCAATCTAATTAAGCTATACAGATGAATTTGTACTCACTTTCTATGCATGCATGATTAGTACGTACTGGAGTGAGGATGGCACCCTCCATTTGGAGATAACATCAACTTATTATCCCTGAACTTCTCTCCATTCCCAAAATTGTTTGAATTTCAATCATTATAAAAAACAATTTTAATAATATATAAAAATTAAAATAATAACCCTAATGTTCCTCCATTACTTACTTTCTTCCTCTATATATATGTTCGTGAACTAGATATCTTTCACCACAGAGTCACTAGAAGTCCATCAACTTCCCCTCCCTTTCTCTCCTCTCTGCATCTCCTCCTACAGAAAAATGACTCAAGCCGGGCATTACATTTCCATCTCCGAGAAAAATAAGAAACTTATCCTTGCTATTTTTGCTTCTTTCTTACTAGTTGCCACTATAATTGCCATTGTCGCTGGTGTAAATTCACACAAAAACTCCACCAAAAATGCGGCTGCTCATGCCCTACTAATGGCCTCGTGCAACTCCACAAGATATCCTGATTTGTGCTACTCAACTCTTGCCAGTATCCCCGGAGTAGCCGACAATGCGGCTGTCCCAAAAAATGTTATTCTAGGTTACATAAACAGTACTGAAGATGCTATCAAAGAGAAAAGGTACGAAGCGGATAAGCGCCTAGCCACCGGTGACGTCAAGGAACCAGAAAAGGGTGCTCTCCTTGATTGTATTAACAATTACAATAGCAGTCTTGCTGATTTAGGCAAGGTTTCAAAGGCACTCGATGCCAACCCCGACAAGAAACTACTTCATCAACAAAAATACGCTGATGATCTCAAAACCCAAGTGAGTAATTGCAAAACCAACCAAGACTCATGCTTGGATGGTTTCTCTCACTCGCTGTTTAAGAAGGTCTGGCAGGGTTTATTTTCTGGCGGTAAACATGATGCTGGAATGATGTGTAGTAATGCACTGGCATTGCTCACAAAATTGATCGAAGACACTAACGCCATTGCCGATGGACTTAAGACCGCAGACAGGAAGCTCAAGGAGGACAACGATAGCAAAGAAGGGTGGCCGGAGTGGATGTCAGAGAGCGAAAGAGGGCTCTTGCAATCATCATCGTTGACTCCAGATGTGGTGGTGGCAGTTGATGGCAGTGGGCACTATAGGACAGTATCAGCTGCAGTTGCTGCTGCTCCCAGCCACAGCAGGAAGAGGTACATTATCAAAATCAAGGCAGGTGTCTACAGGGAAAATGTGGAAGTACCAAGTAACAAGACTAACATCATGTTTCTTGGAGATGGAAGAAAAACAACTATCATCACAGGAAGTAGGAATGTAGTTGCTGGCAGCACCCCCTACCATTCTGCAACTGTTGGTATGTCCATTTTTTCCCTTCTTTCTGACTGCAATTCCTTTTTCTTTTCAATTTTTTCTATGAATTGAATTCGACATTTTGATGAACGTCGCAGCCGTGGAGGGTCATGGATTCCTAGCCAGGGACGTAACCTTCCAAAACACCGCTGGTCCATCCAAGAACCAAGCCGTGGCACTTCGAGTTGAGTCTGACTTCGCAGCATTTTACAAATGTGGCATGGTGGCCTTCCAAAACACCCTCTATGTCCACTCAAATCGTCAATTCTTCATAAACTGCTTCATAGCAGGCACGATTGATTTCATCTTTGGCAATTCTGCAGCTGTTTTCCAAAACTGTGACATCCATGCTCGCCGTCCCAATCCAGGCCAAATAATCACAATAACAGCCCAAGGAAGGAGTGATCCTAATCAAAACACTGGCATTGTAATTCAGAAAAGTAGGATTGGTGCCACTTCCGATCTACAAGCTGTCAGGAGTAATTTCACAGCTTATCTTGGTAGACCCTGGAAGGAGTATTCAAGGACTGTTATCATGCAATCATCCATAAGTGATGTGATAAACCCAGCTGGATGGCGTGAGTGGAAGGGCAGATATGCACTTAACACATTATACTATGCAGAGTACGAAAACAGTGGAACTGGTGCTGGAACCTCTAAAAGGGTTACCTGGGAAGGACACAAGGTGATTACTGATGCAGCTGAGGCTCAAAGTTTTACTGCTCGCAAGTTCATTACTGGTAGTAGCTGGCTGAGGTCTACCACCTTCCCATTCTCCCTAGATCTCTAAACTGATAGTATTATCCTTACTTCTAGTTTGAGTTTTTTTGAGTGTCTTGTGTGGCTGATGCATCTTTTTTTTTTCTTGCTTTTGGTTACAAGTTTTGGTTTATCTTTTTGGATTGTTACACACTCTCCTCCTAGTGGGGATCGAGTTAATTTGTCTTTTTGGTCCTATCCTGGATTCTTAATTATCAATAAGATTGTTTAAATTTTGAAATTAATTTTTTGTATATTTTTTAATTTTCTACGAAGTAATAATTTTAGAACAAGAATACTTTTTTTAATTAATTGTCTCTGCCAAGTTAATTATTTTCCTCATCATCCGACAAAAAAAAAAAGGTGTCTACGAAATAAGAGTTGTTTTGCATTTTGTTAAATCACTTAATTGATTACAATATATAAGATTAATGAAAAGTGTTTTCAACATAAAATTAAGAATAGGATATAGCTAGCTTTTCCTCGAATCGAAAAATTAAAGATATGGTTGAGGGTTAAAGGTTTTAACTGGAGAATAGTGTTACTGGTTCTTAATTTCTATATAAGAAGAAAAATGAAAACAAATATATGAAATAACAAATAACAACATATTTTTTTCCGTGCTGTGTTGGCTTTTGTAGAAAAAATTATAATTATCTAAATAAATAATTTCGAGTTTAAATCTTTGTATATGTAAAAAAAACTTTATGAATAGTTATTTTTATATTATGTGTTGGACAGAAAAATAAAAAATTAATCTGAGTTTTTAAATATCAGTAAAATAATAAGAAATTAGTTTAAATTTTTTAACTTGCGAATCTTGAATGATAAAAATAAAATAGAAGAAAAACAAAAGCTACAAGAGACACGAAGCTAACGTCGGTGGTTCACCTCTGTTCTGATCACAGAATCAGCCGCACGTGCGAGAGTGGGTAAGCAGACGCCGCCATCACGCTCCTCCACGCGCCAATTCTGCCGCTCTAGTTTAGTGTTTTCGTTCAAAGTGGTCCCTATGTTATTGCATCCCGTACGAACCAGCCACTACTTTTCCGTGCTGAGTAACTTTCTCCTTATTCTTATATATATAGAGAGAGACACACACACACGCACACCCCTCTCTTAAAGTATCGTGCAATTATAATGACCATTAAAAAATAACATTGTTCGAAATATGAGCAAACTAGTAATGATAAAATTTTGAATAAACTACTACCAAACATATCATATATATATAGCTTTCTCTCTATAAACATTGATAAAAAATATAGTCAATGGCATGACTTTAAATGGCTTTCTTTCTATAATTACTAGAATATATATAAATTTTGTTTAATATCGTGGTTAATCAAGTATAATTAATTCAATTCTGATTTAAAAAAATCATACAAATTAAAAAGAAAGTACCAAAAGATCAATCGAATAAACTATTTACACCAATTATTCATCACCCAAGAAATTTTCAAAAAGTAATTTCTGACTAATAATTAAAGAGTACTAAAAAATAACTTTTGGTAAATAGAAAATGCTACGAGCAATAAATTTCTTGAGAAAACTATAATTTTGATATCTAATTTTTTATATATATATATTTTTTTTAGTATTCAACCAAGTAAATTCCTCTACTTCAATGTTCAAACTTTGATTTTTTTTTATTTTTATTTGAATGTCTAAAATTATTTAGTGTATGAAATATTGATGTATTCGAGATGACTTGCTACATGGTATTTTCTAATTGCCACATGTTGGCACTTTGCAGCACCATTTCCTCTTGAGCACTCAACCTAGCTATTTTTTTGGTAGGCAAACCTCTTTACCATCTCAAGATCTTAACCATTTCCTCTTTTAGCATCTCAACTTCTTTATTATGAATGAAGCCGAATAAGTATCTAAGGGAAAAGATATAAAGCAGAAAGTGAGAAAAAGAAGAAACATATGTTGCCTCACCACAATTATTGCAAAATTATATATACATGTTTTGCTGTATTTATTCGATATTTTTTCATCCCTAATTAAATAAATTGAAAAGAAAAACAACATATGATTAAGTAAATATTTATCATTTCAGGTAGAAAAATATTACGAAATTTCTATTATATATTTAAGTATATTAGTTAACTGATTGAGTATGTAAGAGCCTTATCAAACTCGTCTCGCTATTAGAACATATTCCACATTGAATAGTTAAACCAATAATAAATAAAGTTCAAAAGGGACTACCCGTCAAAAGGCTTAAGTCTTTTGGATGAAACTCAATCTCAACTATCTAACTCTATATGATATCAAAGCCTTAAAGAGACCCAACGGCCCAAGAAAGATCTTAGAGCTCAAGCCACTTGACGGATCCCAAAAGATGGGCTGCAAGTGAGGGGAGTGTTAAAACATATCTCATATTGAATAGTTGAATCAATAATAAATAATATATAAAGTTGAGAAGGGACTACCCGTCAAAAGGCGTAAGTTTTTTGAATAAAACTCAATCTCAACTATCAAACTCTATATCCGCAAATTGATAATATAATTTAGTATTTTATCTCGTTTAATTACCATGTAAACATGTGGATGTAACTTATAACAATTTATTGCACTCGGCATTGCTACTAATTAAAACCCGAGAATAAATTTTTGTAAATATAGATAAATCTCAAAAATTAAGGTGATATGTAAGAAAATAACTTCTAAAAAAAATCATAAATGATTAGTAATTAAATTATGCTTTCTATATTCAAATAACTTAATGTTTTATGCAAAAGAATTTCAAAAGGAAAGAAATATAAGAATGCTTTCTATTCTTAAAACCAAAAATAAAAGAAAGAGCATTTTTTTTCTTTTGTGATGCAGAGACAATATTGGAAAAAAGTTATGAAGAGATTTATAAAAAATATCACATGCTAATTCATTTCGAATACGCCAATATTTCATTATCTCAGTTAATTATGGACTCTAAAAAAAAAAAAATCAAAGTGCATGCGCACACACTCCATGAATAGTGATGTGAATTCTGATTTAATTTGTTATTTATAAAGAAAAAAGATCAAGCTCTTTCTCTAATAAAGATATACTAAGCTTTTTTATAATTGAAATGATGGCTCAACAAAACTATTATATGGACTATGATCAAAATGAAAATAAATATATTATACTTTTAAAGAATTGACTATGAACTTATAAAGGATTAATCAATATAACTATTATGTGTAAAATAAGCTATATTAATTTTTTTAAATCGACTCTTTAAATTCTTGAGTAATAACTGAAATGACTTAATTTTTCTAATTATAGGATGATATTAGTTAAAATATCAATCTCATGTTCAAAATAAATAATTGAATGATGATAATTCACTTGATTAAGATTTTGTCAAATAAGATGAAGTTCATTAGAAGACCATTTTCTCTTATAATTGAATAATTTATGGATTGTGTATATGTTTCATTTTTTGAATTTAATTTTAATTGGATTTTTTAATTATATATTTAAACTAAAAGACATAATGTTAAATTTGTTTAAACGAGATAAAAGAGCTTAGAATTTACCACTCAAAAATATAATTTGTAATAACTCTCTTAAAGTATCATGTAATTATAATGACCACTAAAAAATAATACTGTTTGAAATATGAGCAAACTAGCAATGATCAAATTTTGAATAAACCACCATAAAGTGAAAATTATTGGATTAATTTTGCAATCTCGATATAATAATTTTTTTGAGAAAACTCGTAATTTTAGTTTCCAACCTTTGATTTTTTTTTTATTTTAGTGTTAAATTAGTAAATTCTTCTATTTTAATTCTCAAACTTTGATTTTTCTTTTCTTTTTTTAATGTTTAAGTGCCTATAGTCATCTAATTAAAAATATAAAATACTAATGTGTTCGGAGTTAACTATCATTGCCACGTAGCATTTTCTAATTGTCATGTGTTTGCATTTTGCATCACCATTTCCTCTTGAGCACTCAACTTACTTTTCCGTGCCTAATCTTCTTTAGCATCTCAACTTCTTAACCTTAATCTTCTTTAGCATCTCAACTTCTTTGTTATGGATGAAGCTGAATAAGTGACTAACGGAAAAGAAATAAAGCTGGAGATGAGAAAAAGAAAAACTGTATGCAGCTGAGCACAAAAATTATTGTAAAACTATATATACATATTTGTTTTGTTGTAATTATTGGGTATTTCATGTCTCATTAAATAAGTATAATAGACTGAAAAGAAAAATAACATATAACCGACCACATATTTATCATCTCAACTAGGAAACTATTACAAAATTTTTTTAAGAAATTTAATCTTTTGGAGATCATCCAAACAGAAAATAATGTTCCAAAACTCTACACTAATTGATGTTGTGCTGAGATGATCTCATTGCTCAAAGAATGGTGAATTATATTGCATAAACAACCGGTCTCGTAGGGTGATAATATTGGTCCCATATGATACTGTTAGAAAATAATATACAATATATTATGATGCGTCATCTAACGAGTTTAAGTTTTTGAATGAGATAATTTTTTAATATGGTATCAAAACTTTAATGATCAAATAGTCGTAAGTTTGATCCTACCACTCTTAGTTTTTCTTTTAATTCTTTCACTTGAAGAGTTATCTCAAAGAATAATATAATTATGTCCAGTTTATTCGTGACATGGCGGCTAACAATGAGTTATATGTCCATTTTGTTTCAAGACAAAATCAGATTGCGGGTATTAATTCTTCCTAAGCCATAGCAACTAATCAGTTTACTATGCTTGGAAACAAACTAACGTAGAATGAAACCTGTTTTTAGTTAAAAACAGCTTTATGTCTAATTAATTATTGTAACTACCACGTACGCTTTTATTGTATTAAAAAACAAACATTCGTGGAGGTCAAACTTGAATTATTAATGTATGTAGTGAGTTCTAATACTCCCCCACTAATTGCTTACGTTCTTCCTCTATATATATGTTCGTGAATTAGGTATCTTTCACCACATTGTCACTATAATTGACATCAATTTCCCCTCCCTTTCTCTCCTCTCTGCATGTCTCCATACTACAGAAAAATGACCCAAGCCGGCCATTACATTTCCATCTCCGAGAAAAATAAGAGACTTATCCTTGCTATTTTTGCTTCTTTCTTACTTGTTGGCACTATAATTGCCATTGTCGCTGGTGTAAATTCACACAAAAACTCCACCAAAAATGCGGCTGCTCATGCCCTACTAATGGCCTCATGCAGCTCCACAAGATATCCTGATTTGTGCTACTCAACTCTTGCCAGTGTCCCTGGAGTTGCCGACAATCTGGCTGTTCCAAAAGATGTTATTCTACTATCCATAAACAGTACAAGAGATGCTATTAAAAGAAACATCTTCCTAGCGGATAAGTGCCAAGCCACCAGTAAACGACTCACGGAACAACAAAAGACTGCTCTTGCTGATTGTATGACGAATTACAACAGCGGTCTTGCTGATTTAGACAAGGTTTCAGAGGCACTCGCCAAAAACGACAGAGAACTTCTTCATCAACAACAATACGCTGATGATCTCAAAACCCAAGTGAGTAATTGCGAAACCGAACAAAAACGACAGAGAACTTCTTCATCAACAACAATACGCTGATGATCTCAAAACCCCCTACCATTCTGCCACTGTTGGTAAGTCCATTTTTTCCCTTCTTTCTGACTGTAACTCCTTTTTCTTTTCAATTTTTTCTATGAATTGAATGCGACATTTTGATGAACATTGCAGCCGTGTAGGGTCATGGATTCCTAGCCAGGGACATAACCTTCCAAAACACCGCTGGTCGCTCCAAGTACCAAGCCGTGGCACTACGAGTTGAGTCTGACTTTGCAGCATTCTACAAATGTGGCATGCTGGCCTTCCAAAACACCCTCTATGTCCACTCAAATCGTCAATTCTTCATAAACTGCTTCATAGCAGGCACGATTGATTTCATTTTTGGCAATTCTGCAGCTGTTTTCCAAAACTGTGACATCCATGCTCGCCGTCCCAATCCAGGCCAAATAATCACAATAACAGCCCAAGGAAGGAGTGATCCTAATCAAAACACTGGCATTGTAATTCAGAAAAGTAGGATTGGTGCCACTTCAGATCTACAAGCTGTCAGGAGTAATTCCACAGCGTATCTTGGTAGACCCTGGAAGGAGTATTCAGGGACAGTAATCATGCAATCATCCATAAGTGATGTGATAAACCCAGCTGGATGGCGTGAGTGGAAGGGCAGATTTGCACTTAACACATTATACTATGCAGAGTACGAAAACAGTGGAGCTGGAGCTGGAACCTCTAAAAAGGTTACCTGGGAAGGATACAAGGTGATTACTGATGAAGCTGAGGCTCAAAGTTTTACTGCTCGGAAGTTCATTACTGGTAGTAGCTGGTTGAGATCCACCACCTTCCCCTTCTCTCTAGGTCTCTAAGCTGGGTTTTTTGGTGGTGCAACCATGCCATCCCTACTTCTAGTATGAGTTTTTTGAGTGTCTTGAGTGGCTGATGCTTCTTATTTTTCTTGTTTTTGGTTACGAGTTTTGGTTCGTCTTTTTGGAACGTTACACTCTCCTCCTAGTGGGGATCGAGTTTGTCTTTTTGGTCCTAGCCTGGACTCGTAATTATCAATAAGAGTGCTTCAAATTATTGAAATTAATTTGCTTGCAGATATTTTTTTTTTTATACGAAGCAATAATTTTAGAACAAGAATACTTTTTTGATTAATTGTCTCTTGCCAGTTAATTATTTTTCTCATCTTCGGACAAAAAATAAAAAAGAACGTACCCGTTTAATAAGAGGTGTTTTGCATTTTGTGGACTGATTCAATTACAATATAAGATTAATAAAAAGTGTTTTCAGCATAAAATTAAGAATAGGATATAGCTTTTCCTCAAAAAAAAAAATAAATAAATAACTATTACTTTTGAATCCAGAATATGTTGAATTAATCTGCCATTAGACATGATGGGAAAAAAAAAAAAAAAAAAAAAAAAAAGCAAAATGGCATGAATACACTCATACGAAATTAATTCACCATAAATTTTGCATGTTATTACAAATTATGCTATTATATGTATTCTTGTCATTTTCATTTTACAAAATTCTCGTCTTTTAGAATGCCTTTCTCAGCCATGACTAGGTATATGGGTTAGCTAGGTTAGGTGAATATTTGGCACCATTTGAAGAATAATGAACAGTACTTGTACTTGGTTGTGAAGAGTGAAGAAGATGATGAAATTGAAAGGAGATAGTTTTTATATCTTGAAATTAGGTGGATATGAACTAGAAAAGACAGAATCGTATCTAAGGTAATGGTTTGAAGTTCCATGCACGTCGAATGTTCTGGTTTGATGGAGCTCCGATTATGTCCTTATAGCCTGTTGTGCCGTAGAGTACTGAAGAGACCATGGAGGAGTCTGTAGACCGAGTGATACGAGATCGAGGAGAATATATAAATGCTCCTTTATTTTCTTATGGTCAGATTAAGGGCCATTGTTGGTGATCAGTACCTTCGGAAGGCCGAAATGGAAGATGATATTTTTCCATATAAAGGATTTCACTTTGCTGGTTGTGATATTCGTCAAGACAGCTGCCACTATCCATTTAGAGAAACAATCCACAACTACTGGCATAATTTGTCTTTTTCTTGAGGATTTGGGAAAACAATTCCAAGTACGTCTATCTTCTACTAAGAGAGAGGCATGGTGATGGGACGACTGTCATTTTTACTTATGTTGAAAACCCTTTAGATTTCAACCTTGCACAGATCTACAAAACAAGTAAAGGTAGTAAGATTTAAACTCGTAATCAATTATCAACCTTTGTAATGAGTGACCTCTTCTCAATCTATATAGAGTTGAATAGTTAAAATTGAGTTTCATTCAAAAGACTTGAGTCTTTGTGCTGAGCTGTCCCTTTCCAATCTTATATATTAATTATTTTTTATTTAATTATTTAATTAAGGATATGTATTCTAGCATATTTGTAGAAAGTGTTTCATTCTTCAGATGCTGCTCTACCTGTGCTAGCCAATCTTTAGTGAGGGGAGATTTGAGTAGTGTAGAAAATCGTCGCTTCTTGCCCTAAAAAGTGCTCGGCTCCTGGAGGATCTCTATCCATAACTCCAACGAGTGCTCTATTGGATTGGTGCTGGCTAGATTGAACAAAACATATGCCTGAGTGTTTTCCTCCCTCGAGATTTACAACATGGCGATTGCATGTCCCTCTTTTCTTGGCACTCTCAAGGTGTTTTTATACCAATTGGTGTATTTAGCCACGTTGGACTCTCTTGCCTCAAATCGCCATTCGCATTGTTCCTCAATCAGTTGGGAGTCGTTATGGATGTGGAGGGGGTAGGAGTAGGACTTCAAGGCTTCTGCCAAATTAAAGTTGGCTACCATAGCCTCTCATTTAGTTGTATTGTTTGAAGCAGAAAACTAAAAAACGAAAAGCCATGCTCAAAGACCTCATCTACAAACAGTTTCCATCCGTCGGTGTTGGGGGCTTCATTTCAAAGTTGTTTCTCTCCCACCAACTCGCTGAAGGAACATTCAACTATAAAATCGGCTAGAGCTTGTGCCTTGATTGTTGGTTAGGGCTGGTATGAAGTCCAAATTCTCCAAGCTCAATGGCCCAACGAACAAGAGTGTTATCTAGAGATTGAAGGTATGGTCGGACCTTTCTGGTCACTCTGACTAACGCAAAGACTACCTTTTCCACCTTCAGATATCATATTTTGGCATTTTAGAGAGTTTTCCGCCTTTGAATTCCTTCTTCCGACTGCACCAAAGCAGCTCTCACGGCCATATCTGTCGCCCCAAAGTACAAGAACAGTCTCTACTTCCAGGTTGTGACAAATTTTAAAGAGAGGAACGTTTTCAACTCTTCAAAAGCTTCGTCACATTCTGAAGTCTATTGGAAATTGTTGATGTTTCTAAGTGTGCCAAAAAAGACAAGCACTGTTCTCCCAGCTTAGAGATAAACTGATTTAATCCTACAACGTACCCAGCCTATATATGCCAGCCATTGTGTTTCAATTTTCAGCAGTTGTCTTCGGCCTCCGGCTGCAATGACCGAGCAAACACGCTACATATCAAACCTGCCGAACCACATCCTCCAAGAAATCTTTCTTAAACTCTCCTAAAACTCTTATAGAATGCAGGCACCTTTGCAAGAATGGCAACATGTTCTCAAGTTAGACACTCAATTAATTTTGTAACTAAAACAAAAATCAGTAATAGTCCAATAACATTAGAAAAACACATCCGAGTGACTCCTCGTACCTTGGTTCAGACCATCACTTAGCTTTTTCTATTATTATTTTGAGCAAATTATTGTCTCGTCCAAATTATCTCTTTTAACCTAACAGACGAAAAACTAGGTGAATGAGTGAAATTCGCATCCTGCTAACATTGGAACCAAACTGAAGTTACGAATTTAAATTTGATGACAAGACTGGAACTCAAATTAGTTGACGATCACGGTGAATAGGCCAACACAGCAAGTGAACAGGAGAGGGAGAGTATTTGTGTAAATATACTAGAATCGGTGCAACACAAATTCAATACCAAATAATGTTTGGTTTTCATCCTACATTAACTAAATTGTTTTTAATCGTAGACATAGATAGCTATACAACAAAAGGGGGTAACACTTCTTTCTAACTTTTTGGCAGGACAGACGTATCAAAATTTTTGCCCATTAAAGCAATAACAAGGGACCGAAGTTTCAGTCACCAATCGAAAAGAATCATATATTCCAGATGACCCTATCAAAAGAATCATACTACTACCCACTTTTTGTTCTCAAAATGGAGTCACCAACACTCAAAAACACAAGTTCTCCCAATATGACATTCACAGCAGGTAGGCCTTCAATGAAATCAACAGTTATCTGCAGAAAAGGATTTATAAGTTCGTTAAACAAGAGCTAACTGAAGTCTAAATGCTTATTTTCCATGACACACAGAAATGGAATATATTAGGGTTAAAGAAGCAAACCTTTCCATCTCCAAGTTGAAATTCTGATTTCAAATTAGAATGATCCCTTGATAGCAAGTAAGTTTCTAGACCATGGGCAGATTTTGTATTTCCTGAAACCACTGATTAATAGTAAGAGAGAGGGAGTGGATACGAGGAGAAGAAATGCCTAGCAGAGAGAGAGGGAGAGGGAGAAACAGACCTCCATATAATGAAAGAATGGCATCAGATTGGAAAACTAGGGCAGGTCTTGCCAAATATATGGTGAAGGACAACTTGGAAATATCGTGAAATGTCTCCTCACCGAGTATAACCTGCAATTTAACTCAACAAATCATGTCAGAAAGAAATTACTCAAAACAAAAACCAACACAATCTCTTGAAAATACTAGAAAAAAGAAAGAACCTCATCCTAAAAACACAATCAATTTATTACTCCTACACAAGCATATTGCAGAACTTGATCTATCGTACAAATATGATCAACAAAGGCATCCGGCATCGCCCTTTGAAGTAGTTCCTAGTCTGGCGAGCAAAGGCTTTTGAGTTGTTCAACCAATAAGTCAGCGGCAACCGCACACCATATGTTATCCCAGGACTAAACAGAGTACCCGAAGAAAGGCAAGTAAAAACTAAGGCAACAACCTCAGCAAGCCTTGGAAGCAGTAGGTCCATGCTATGGCAGTTAAAATCTATGTTAATTTTAAGTTAGACTTATTTATGAAAGAACTTCAAGCCCTGGGCCTAGGAATTATGTTACACAAGCTGCCTTGCTCCAGCAGTAAATAGAATTTTGCAATGTAGTAATGTAAATTCAAAAGTAATGACCTTTTACAAAGGGAATATGACCTTAAATTAGAAGTATCAAAGATGCAAAAAAATCCTTGAACTACAAAAAATTTAAAGTAATTATTTTATCCATTGCAACTTACTGCATGTGGTGGCATCAAGGTAGAAGAAAGCAATGGGGAACCAATTGCATCCCTAATATAGAGTTCCTGCAGATAAAATACGCAACTTCAGTTATGAAACACATGGAACTGGAAAAAACTTAAAACATCACATGGATGCAACAGCGTTTTCGGTTTATATACATAAACTGCTAGGAGGATATAGTCTTTCATCAGTCAACATACACAGGCCACTAGGAGGACATAGTTTTCCATATGTTGGATACATAATGAACTTGATACAATGTGATTCACAGTCCACACATCAAAAGAAACACACCTATTAAGGTTCAATGTGATTCACAATCTTAGCACCAATCTATCATTTTTCCATTTGAGAATGGAAAGAGCGAGGAAAAAAATTAAGCAGCTTGAAAATTTTGAGTCCTAGACAATAAAATTTCAAAACACAAAGATAACTATTGAGCAATTTTTATGCAACCGATATGTAAATAACAGAACAAACGAGGAAGAAAGCTTATATGTAACCATTACCTGTGAATTCAAGACCCGCTGAGAGATTGATTTATCTTCATCCAAAGATTCAAAGTAAACCTCAACAGCATCCGTAGGTTCTAATCCAATTTTTTTCCTCGATTTCTGAATTCTATTAACAACCTGCAATTGACAGACAGCCCACTCATCAAGCATCACACATCCTTTAACCAATGTCAATCCACAGAGCAACTTCCTCTAATCGGTGAATTAATGAAGAGGCATATGGGTCTCTATTTCAAAATGAGACTATGAGAAAAAGGTCATGGCAAGCAAAGAATTCCACACATAAAAAAATGGTATTCATGATGTAATAATTTTAACAAACAATTTCATAGCCTTTCCAAATGAAATAAACTTCATGTGGTAATACAAGAAATATGGAACTTCTATAGTTCTGTTCCTGACAATGATTAAAATGAGTAATCACATATATGGAATGCCAATCAGAGCAATTTGAAACATACCTCGCGAGCAACACCAGCCTCATATAACGACTCATCCAGACGCAAATCTAATATTACCAAAACATCACCTGAAATATTGGACACCAAAAACTTAAGCCACGCATACCTATTCCACAGAATATCAAAAAAGAATGGCATTCCCAATTCTTACCATCGCCAGCAGCATCGACCTCCCCATCTGTCAAACCATCAGGGCGTTTGAATTCCCGAACAACCTAACTCATAAGAATGTGTAAATGAGTAAATTGGCACAACAATCCTTCTGAAGGAAATAAATCAACCAAGCCAAAACTAAAAACTCAAAACTCCAGCCAGCTGGCGACTGAAGCTCAGTTGAGTTGAATTTGAAGACCAAACTAAGAGGTTTTGTTTTACAACAATCAGCTTGATGTGGTTAACATCCAGTATAGGGATAAGCAAATCACAGGCACTGCAATCACTAGTTTATAGTCCACCTATAATATCAAAAGTTCATTCATACAAACAAGATGAAGGGAAAAGAGTCCCAAGGAAAAAAAGGGAGGGGAAGAGTGGAAAAATTGTCCCTGGAACTGAAACGAATGGCAAAATCATTCCATCACGTAAAGATTGCTATAATATGTTGAATGACAAAGTGTTCCAAATAAAAAGGTCTTTCCAAGAAACACACCCAGATTATTTCCGTCACAGAATCACATAGCACAAAAGTAACTACCATTTCATCTGCATGGCAATAACTCCTTTGCCAAATATACGGATGAATAATAAAATAAAAATACAAATTAAGCCAATAAGAAAAGAAGCACCTTAATATCAGACAGTTTCAGACAATGTGAAGAAATGGTAACTTCTCCAGCTTTCTCAAATTCCAAAATATTTTTCTGAGACATAGCTTTAACTTCTTTGGCAACAACTCCCATAGATTTTCCAAGTCGCTTACCTAACACACTAGAAAAGAATAACCAAACATTAATTATATAAGCACAGGACAGTACAACAAACTTTGTAAGGAAATAACAATTTGCATACCTAAACTCAGGCTCCGCACGCAAAGAGGCATACTTCAGAGTATCGTTGCATGGAACAAGAGACCTTACATTGAGTTCCTCGAGCACATACTACCATGCAAAAAGAAAATAAAACTCCTAAAAAGTGGGAATATAAATGACAGCAGACAGCAAATAACCAAGAGAATGGGCTTGAGCAAGAAAATTGAGGATTGTATGGTTTTGATCAGCTAAATAATATAGTGATAAAGAGAAATTAATAGTTTCACTACCACAACTAGGAAAGGAGCACAAACCTCTTTCAGTTTCCCAGCTATGTCATCAAGAAAGTCTACATCAGTATGAACTACAATCATCTCCCTGCAGTTTGTAATAAGTAATACAATGAAGCTAATGATGTCAGAAATAAACAAGAGCCAGCCAAAAGTATATGCAGAAGTATCTAATTAAAAGGACCAATGAGTGAGGGATGAGCTTATAGGAGCACCTTAGTGGTGATTTAAGAGGCTTGTTGTGACGTTCACGGATATTGCGCGCAAGATCAATAATGGTCATCATTCTTGCCACACTCTGTTCAATCCGTTCATCCCTCTACAATGACAATAAATACAATATAGAATGTTTCAAAAGATGATAATTTAGAAGAGAAAAAGAAAGACAGTTTCCACTGCATAAATAAAACAGAGCAAAATTAAGGAGGGACCAAACTCTTTGCTTAAAAGCTTAGCCAAAATTAGGTAGAATTTTTTTTATAAAAAAAAAAGTCCAAAAACAAATACTCGTGAGATAATATAAAACATAGTTTAAAAAATATATATATATAAATCTTGGATTTTCCAAATTCATACAAAATTCCACAATTTGGGTAGACAGTATCTGGACATTCAACATGACCAAAGATTGGCAGCCTAGAACCATAACAAGAAGTTTATATATTAAACAAAATGAGCTTGCTGTAACAGAGATTAAAAGTACCTCTCCCTCTACTTGAGGAAAACTGCAATAGTGAATACTTTCCTCTGATCTGGTACAAACTCTACGCATATTTTGATACAGACCTTCTGAAAAGAAAGGCGTGAACGGTGCCATCACCTTACATGACATTAAAAGCACCTGAAAACCAAATACATTTAGTGCAAATGAGACTTCAACTACAGCATCTTATCAAAACAATCAAGCACCAATAACAACGAATTACAATAATAGCTAAAAGATTAGCCAAGGAATGCCTTTGAAGCTGCACCAGGTGTTGGTGTCCGAATGTGAAAAGTAGGCAAGGGGGTTCCAATTTTTTTAAGAAGACTATTGCAGAGACAAAAAACTTAGTCCAATAAACAAACAAGAAGGCGGGAGATGTTATTTGTTATTTTAGAACCTGTAGAAGATTATGACTTGGCATCAGCAAAAATAAAGAAAAAAAGCGGACTTAATCAACTTTTTAAAGCAGTAATAATCCTAGTAAAAAAAAAAAAAAAGGAGCATCCTTAATAGGAAAAGGCAGAACACCTGATAACTTTTCAAAGCAGAAATAATAATATTTGATTGGATTCTATTCTTGGTATGAATGGTGACAGAGCATGTTATAATGTAAGCTTATTCCAGTGTTCACCATGAAGCATTGGCGAGTGGCATTACATATGTTTCCAAGATGCGAGAAGGGTTAGAGAACCAAGGACCCAAGAACAAGGTTGTGGGTGAAAAGACAAGCATGTGACCTTTTAAGGATATTGATAGAAAAGGAAACTGAAACTTTGAAAAGGGAAATAAGATGTTGCGAAACAAACTTGAGAAGAAAAAACCTGCTTCAAATCAGATGATTGAAAACCTTCTATACATCATGATGCATCCGCATCCAAAGAATTCCAGCAAACAATTACCTTAAACGCAAAATTGTTCAGCACATGCAGAGTATCACTCATAAAGTAGGCACTACCAGATAAAGAGACAACTAAAACAAAGAGGAACTCTTCCACCTATCTAACCAAGACAAGAAGGTGAACAATTTTGGTTGCCATAACTAGAACATGATACTGAACGAATAATAAATAGCACATAGTATAGGACCACTATTCTAACACAATATAGATATTGGTGTCAAGTGAAATCATACGTTATACAAAGTTGACAGAGCAGTACGGCAGTCTTCTTCCCCAGTACGCCCTTTTAATCTTTTGCGGTTGAATCGCACATAAATATTTGTGAGGTTGTCAAGAAACTTCAAGAGATATGGTACCACCTGCAAAAGATGCATTTGAAAAGATATTTACAAAAAGCCGTAAGACATGAGTTGATTCTTTATCTCCAAGTGCCATATGAGCTTTTTCAAGTTTTAAAGCATATTCCATATACATTCAAAAGATATCAGTTTTAAAGCATATTATATAAGATGAGTTAATTCTTTATCTTCAAGTCCCATTTCTACAAACACTCCAACTCCAAATACTAACAGCAGAGTAATGGTTTAAAACAACCAACCGTATAAAGGCGGTATGCATTCATTTCCTGGTGAACAAAATGAACAAGACTCTGAGTAGCTGAGTTGATCCACTGATCAAGCACATTGGATGATCCTTGAAGAGTTGCTGAATCGATAGGAGTGAATGGTGCAAACCCTTCAATCTCAAGCCTTTTTGCATTCTGTACAAGGAACCGATAAGCATTGTACCAAGGAAGGAACACGTCTTTGACCTGGATATAAATAAAATGATCGATTAGGAGGAGCCAAATAGACACAAAAGCAAAACATGGATTATTTGAGCCTCTATAAGGTGAGAAGATGAGAGCAAAGAAATTCCCTAAATCCAAAAACAGTTGATAGATACTCACAACACTAAAAACACCTTCCTTTTTGAAACGCAAGGTCTCCGCACGCACAACTGGAGAGTTTATAAGGTATAATCGTAATGCATCCTGTACAACAGTCATGTGTAAACCTTAATAAGAAAGAAACAAAGTTCTAATAAAAACCACAGAAAACATGAATAAGCAACTTGCAGGCCAAAAAAAAGATAATTAATGTGTTATAAAAAGCACAAAAACTGGATGGGGTGCAATTTTATTTTAAAATTAAGGATAATTGATGAGTTGTAAAAATAACTTACAGCTCCATAATCATCAATAACTTCCATAGGAGATGGATAATTTTTCAAACTTTTACTCATCTTCTTTCCATCCTCAGCGAGGACAAGTCCATTGCAAATGAGATTCCTAAATGCAGGTTTCCCAAATAATGCTGTAGACAATACCATGAGAGTATAAAACCTGCAATCCAAAATAAAAATCCATGATTAGACTCACTTAGTCTTCTGAATAACTGCATTTGCACAAGTGACTAGCAGGGAAATATAAACCTAATTCCCAGGGATACTGAAATTCTCAAGCAATCAAGAAAATTGTGCCAGAAAGTACAATCTGGGAAAGGAAAATAAATACATAAATGTAACTTTCAAGAAAAATGTTGTGCCAGAATGATTGTAAGAGCTTATTTTTCTTCCTTGGTGGGAAAAGAACCTCAAGGACATTATAATAAAATGTTTAGTCTGACATATACAAAATATTGCCATGACTTATGTACTTCAATTCTACTGTATCCCAGTACATACTCAAAAGTATTTTGCATGATAAAACAGCTATATACACTCAAATATGGGAGGTATTATTAAGTATCTAAAACAAAGGAACCAACCATCCACGAGTTTGGTCTAGCCCTTCAGCCACAAAATGCCCGGGAAAATTTTTCTCAAAAAGTTCAACATTCTCAAATGGGTAGTGTATATAAGCATAAGGCATCGACCCACTCTCAAACCAACAATCAAATACCTGCAAAAATTACAACATAGAATCAAATGATATGTAACGATGCATAAAATAAAATCCAAATTGTGGTAGTATAGTCAAAAGAAAAGGTCTGCAGTAAAACAGTGGAGGGGCATAACAGTTAAGACTAGGGTTCAAATCCAGCCTGCTAAATTAAGAACCAAAAAAGTGTGGGAAGCATGCATGCACTCATTTCTAGGTGAGACAAGTGAACAAACTGGCTCAAATTCTCAAGCCAATGAGAGAAGTTAAAAGCAATCCAAGTACAGTACTTTCAAAACAATTCAGACTTAACCCAAATCCTACCCTTGCTTCCTTGAGGAAAAAAAAAAAAAAAAGGCGAAGTATGCAGGCCTACTTAGGCAAGACAACTGAACAAAGAAAGCAAAATTATCAAGCCAAGAATTGAGGTTAAACTGCATCCAGATACAGTGCTTCTAAACTGATTCAGAGTTAAAGGCAAAGCAATATAATTGCTTCCCAGACATTAGCAAACCTATTCAACTATGCTTGACAATCAATGGGATAGAAATAAGCAAAAAAGTACTTTCACTAAAAACACAATGTTGTCAAGGTAGGTTCCACATTTGAGAATAAAAACTGGCATCATCCAGAAAAACAAGGGGCAAAAGAAAGAAATCCCATAAAAAACCCAGATCCAGTAGCTTACATCCTCTACACGTCGAAGCACACCAAATTCAGGACCACGACTGGATGGGATCGTGATGTTATCAATATTGTGACGATGCAGATCAAACACCTGCAAGATGACAAAAATGAAGTAAGACATGTATCTTTATAGCTAACAGTATTCAACATGGATACGCACAATCACAAGCACAACAAGCATAGAAGAAATAGTACATGCATGAATATATCTTTAACAGATGGGAGGGATATAGGCCACACGATCACCTCTAGGTGATAGATAGATAACAATAAGTTTATGGAATCATACTAACTGCATGATCAAAATACAGTCATAAGTTATCACCAAAAAGAATATGCATCAGTTCATGTATACATGTGGTCATAAGTCACTAGCACAAGATACCCATGGAGGATAATAAAACTCAAGTAAAAGAAAAGGAAAGAATTGACCTGCATCAACCAAGACAAGAGGGAGAAAGAGAGAGAGAGAGAGAGAGAGAGAGAGAGTACCTTAACACCAGAAAGCTTTTCAAGTTTAGCAATAGAATCCATGACTATAAATTGTTCACCATCATCACTCATCCATACAGGTAGAGGAGTGCCCCAAAATCGACTTCTACTAACTGCCCAGTCTCTAGCATTTTCAAGCCAATTGTGAAACCGTTTCTCCTGTTATATTTGTCCAAAAAAAGCAAAGAAAAAGAAAGCCAAAACTTCAACAATGCATGAAAGCACAGTTTATTATGATTTCTGATTGAGCACAATATCGTAAAGACAGCCACTTTCAATACTTATCATGATCCATATCTTCCAAGTAAGTTGCTGTTACAGCCATTACTATTAGGATATAAAAACACTCATGGTTGACCAATTTGGAGTTTCATTTGGGGAGATCACATAGAAGGAGAACATGATTTCCATAGATATGCATATTTTTTAATCTATACACCATAGTTTAAACCCGAGTCCACAAAAGAAAAAAGGCTCATCGCACTACCAAATTCTTTCATTCATCTGATTCATATCTTATGTTTTAGATAATCATGCAGATCTCTAAACTGGTAAGGGGCAGAATACAACATTATGCACTAGAGATAAATCTCCTAACCAAACAAACCATCTGAGCTTCCAATTTAATCTCATAATGGAAAGACAAACACAAGCAACACAAGAGCAAGAGGTGCAGGGATAAAGTTCTAACCTTTACATAATCAGGAACCCAGTATGTTTGTTTGTTGCTTTCTAACAATTGCTCTTTTAATTGTTCCACTCTAATAAACCTACACAGAAAATTCAATAGCACCGATCCATTAGAATAAATACACAAATTTGAAAGATTATAAACCATATAAAATGATAACAAGTAGGATATTGCCTAAGCAGAAGGTCCATAACAAAAGTAATTATACAAATGCTACCAAATGAACTTAGAATGCAAATGCTAAAAGATTATACACTGAAACAAAAAGAAATAATAATAATAATAAAATGCGACAAAACTGAGATTTAAAAAACTCAAAGCAGCATCAACCAATGAACTTAGAATGCAAATGCTACCAAATATTTCACAGTGAGGACAAATACATCAAGGGAGAAAACGATGCAAACTACGTGGGACACAGCATTCAACAAACAAACAAAATTCAGCTAACTACAGTTTCTTTTTGTCTATTTGGAAGGACAACCTTCTTCTGATGGCAGGCAGCACAAGTGTTCATAAAATCCCAATGAGTACTAAATGACAAATAAACATCAACGCGGATTAGAATGCCCAAAGATTAACACACTTCAAAATGAATCAAGAAGTATTAACTTCGGAAAAAAAAAAAACAATAAAACTAGATGGCAGTGCACTCTGGGATGAAATGAAATTGTAGTGAAAATAAGCTTACCAGCTTGGAACAGCTCTATAAATGAGAGGTGTATCAGATCTCCAACAGAAGGGATATGAATGCATAAAGCTCCCAGACTTAACAAGCCTGCCTTTTGCCTGATCAAACCAAGAAATTTGGTAAAGGAAAACAATTAGACCAGAAGCACATAAATAAGAGGAATATGAAAGTAACAGCAACCAAAACCACTAACTCTTGAAATTTTAATTGGTAAAAGAAGAGAGGGGGAGGGGGGACCCTATTTCAGAGGTACATTGTGCTTCCTATAGAGAAACCAAAACCCACATTTCAAAAATATCTAACAAAATATTGAAAGCAACTGCACAGTAGTTTTGCAAATAATCTCGTTCAGAGGTATGTTATGTTCCTCTGCATCATGAAATCGGCTCTCAGAATAAACAAGTAGCCATATTTTTATCCATGTGAAAACACAAAAGCCATACCTTCACTGCTTCAATGATATCTTTGTCTGCATCCTTGACATAGCGCCCACTGAAATCAGTAACTTTTTCAATAAAGCAGCCATCATCATCAACAGCTACAATCAAATTCTCCTGCAAGACAGGAAAAAAAAATGATATTATGAGACTGGGAAAGATAGATAAGAAAAGCACTAGAGATCCTAACATAGAAAAACAAAACAAACTGTTTTTATTGAATGTTCACAACCACATAATTGAAACCACACATAATTGAAACCACCAGTTTGGCATATGACAACAACCTTACTGAGTATTTGATTTGCAATGCAAATACGGTAATCATCTTCACCAAATGCAGGAGCAGAGTGCACAATACCAGTACCACTGTCATCAGTCACATAATCATCCGCAACAACTCTAAATGCAGTGTCAGAAAACTCCATGAAGTAATTGAATAGTGGCTCATACCTGTAAAGTGTAATCTCTCTCAGAAACTCAACAATTTCTCATACAGACCATTCAGTAGCATGCATAACATTATTCCAACAACAGGAGAGATGACAAGCAACGTATCCCATCACTGAAAATGTACCAATAAAAGTTGTCCACGCACGCAAGATTAAAGAAAAATAACAATAACAGGAGCGGCCGTCTTAAAGTGATATGCAAATAGCTAGAAGAACGTGCAAAATGGATGAAAGATCACACAATAAATGAAAGCATCGCTCACTTCTTGTTCACCAACTCACTGCCCTTGACTTTCTCCAACAAATCATAAGAATCCATCAAGTTTTCAGCCTTCCCACTCTTAGTTTTAGAATTTGATGTCTTTGAAGCACCAGCAGATCCATTTGCAGTTGATTTTGGCTTCTCAATAGGAAGCGCTGACAGTCTACATTCAGCAATGACATAGACTTTTCCAGTGTACTTGTTACGAACCTGGATTTTGTTTCGCATGGATATCAGAAAATCAAGTACCAGCACATTCATCAAACATACTCAGAAATACGACATAAAGGATATCAGCAAAACCATGATATCAAATGCAACATCTGAAATTATTCTTGACATGCCAAAACAAAGATCTGGGAATCCATAAGCACGTCCAATCGAGAAAATTACTGCTTCAACCGTCACTTTAAAATTAGTAGATATAAATCCATTTTCATGAGCATGCACATACACACCCCATGAGCATGTGATAAAACCTTAAATGCATTTTAAAAAGACTCGTGCTTAACTTATGAACTAGCAGGGGTCCGCAAGGGGATGTGGCTAAAATGGATCATCATGTTAATGAGCATTGAGAACAGAAAAGAACCACGGTGTTGAATGCATCTAAACCGGGATCTCATATTTTTTTCCCAAATAATCCACATCATGAAGAAGTCATAGATGATAACCTTGATATAGTCAAAATTTCCATTGACACAAAGAGCAAGGTTACTGGGAAGCGTCCATGGCGTAGTTGTCCAAGCAACAAAGGCTGCATTGTGTGGATCATCAACAATCGGAAATGTCACCGTTATCTCAGGATCAGGCACATCCTGGATCACACCAGGAGTGTCAGAAAGAACAATTACATAAGTAGGTTAATTAAAAAAGCAATTCACAAAATTAGAAATCACGAACCTTATAATTCTGCTGAACTTCAAAATTAGAGAGCACAGTTTTGCAACCCGTACTGTAAGGCATAACCTGCAAAGAAACAGTAATATCATCATAACCATAATATAATATATACCACTAATTAAGGAAAGGACTCAAACCATTCACGCCACAGTTAAAGATTCGGCCAACATAACCAAAACTGATATCACTTAACATGCGAAAATGTTCAACATTTTCACGTCCAAAATCAATGAAAACCTATTTGACGGTGATCCTCTCTCAACAACTAAGTTTGAAAAATCACAAAATTAAATACATATATTATAAAACAGTGATACTATATTAGTACTACTTTCAAATCCATAAATCCAAAAATTCATCACAAATGACGCTGCATTCGCAAAATCTCCAATATCCATATCAAAAATACACAATAAACCTTATAATCAAACAAACCAACATTAAAACTTCTCCATAGGCCGATCAAATCATCAAAATCACCAAAAACTCACATGGAAAAAAAAAAAAAAGAAACCAATCAAATCAAAACAAAAACACAAGAGCAACAAAAACCCACCTTAAAACCCTTGTAAACAAGCCCTTTCTCAAACAACTTAGCAAACACCCACCAAACACTCTCCATGAACTTCAAATCCATAGTCTTATAATCATTCTTAAAATCAATCCATCTTCCAACTCTAACAACAACTTTCTCCCATTCCTCCACATACCTAGTGACAATCCCTCTACACTCCTCATTATACTTATCAATCCCCATTTTCAGCACCTCATCTCTTCTCTTAATCCCTAATTTCTTATCAATCTCATTTTCAACTGGTAATCCATGACAATCCCATCCAAAACGACGGGTCACATGATGCCCTGTCATCGTCTGATATCTGGTCACAATATCTTTGATTGTACCAGCTAAAATGTGGCCATAGTGAGGCAACCCGGTGGCAAACGGTGGACCGTCATAGAAGATGTACTCCGGGAGGTCTTTGGTGCGTTCTAGTTGGGTTTCAAAGGCTTTGATTTCTGACCAGAAGGAAAGGATCTTTTCTTCTTGTGTTGGAAAGGAGAAGTCTTTTCCTTCACATACTTCTTCCATGGCGGAAAGGAGGAGGAATTGAGGGATTAGGGTTTCTTGAGGGAGGAGGAGATGGTGGCGGAGAGGGGTTTTGTAACTATGGCTTGCTAGTAACGCTGGAAATGATGCTAAGCTACCTTAGGTTCTGAAAGAACCAATTGAATACTGAAAACAAAGAACTTTTGGATACTATGTATGTTAGTGCCCAAACTATGATGTAGACTACAAATTCATCCCTAAACTTCTTTCACAGTATCGTCGGCCCCACTTTCATCGCCAAGAATCCGATACCTCCTTTCTCTAATCGAATGTGAAGGTATGTTTATTCCAAGATTGATATATCCACGAGAAATTTTTTTAAAAAAAAATATTTAAGATGGGTTAAAAATAAATTTATTTATTATGTGGATCTATATTTAAAAAAAAAATTAATTATAAATTTTAACTTTATACATGTTTTAAATTGATTATGATCGTCACATTGCCTAATTCGACATAAGTTTGATTCAAGTTAAAATATTTCTATTTTTATTAAGTGAATATATATATGATTCGATAGGCAATCTAAATTTTTTTATTTCATTCATTTTATTGGATATGAATTATGAAAAAAAATTCTAAATACAACATAGTTAAGAAGATACGTTAATAGTTCGTAATTAATAGATTAGAAGAATCGTATTACTATAAAATATTTAATTAGTTATTATTGTAAAAAGCATGGATCGCTCTAACATTTTGTTCTAATGAAGTATTTTTTTAAACTCAAAATATTTTGAGAAAATTATCTGGATACTTGAATTTTTGCAATTACTAAACCATATATCTATTAATGAATATAAAAATTAAAAAAATAGTGCATCATATAAGTATGGATTCATATGCTTAGTGAATATAAATACATCATGTTTCATGAGAAGTGGCTTGACAAAGTTAGAAATAAAAGGATGTGCTGTTACAGTTGAGAAATAAAAATGAACTATAATATATTCTTAGCTTATTTAACAATAGATGACAAATAAATACTCTAATTTTCAAATGACAATTAATCTTAAAGTTGCACACACATACTATTTTATGTTTAATTAATTATAGGAGAACGTGAATGTGATTATATTTTAATTCTTAACCATTAAATTAGTAAAATTCTGAAATTATATCAAAAGAAGATCTCACCAAAAAAATTTAAACTATTAAGCAAGAATTCAAGATATGATTTATATTATTCTCTATTTTATATTTAATTAATTAGAAGATAAAATAAAAGTGTCGATATTCGAATTCTTTACCGTTAGACTAGTAAGACTCGATGTTATGTCAAAAGAACATTTCATTAAAAAATTTAAATCATTAAGTAAGGTATCCGTATATGATTTATATTATTTTTTAGTATAGAATATGATTTGCAAATTCATAGAAATTTGTTTACCGTCAATGTCAATTTGCTATCCATTCAATTTTCAACTAGAGGACTTTCTGATTGCTCCCTAAATTATTTAAAAAAAAAAAAAAAAAAAGCAAATCTCCTAGAAAATTATAGAATTTAGCCGTTGCGTGGTTAGAATGAAGAAAGAGCCCACAAAAGACGAAGAAATCACATGGACAGTTATGTTCCAACCAAATCAAAGAAAGTCCCTCCCTTTTAACTTCCATATGTTTGATCGTGTAATAGGGTTGGGACAATTTTAATTTAGTTTCAAATTTATATACTATTTTTCAATTATGTCCCAAACTCTTAAATTTTATCAATTAGGTCTCAAGTGTTTCTCACATTTCTTTATTGGATTTTTTAAATCAATTTTAGTTAATCTTTATTGAATAAAAAAAATGACATATTTTGGAAGAAAACTTGACAGAAAAGTCCATGAACATTAAAAATAGAACGTTTTGGAACATCTAGGACCAAATTGATAAATTTCAAAGACTTGGTCCAATTTAGATGAGTATTCAGATTAGGAACTAAATCGAGTTTCCTTATTTTCCTGCTCACATATCTGTACCACATTAATGTAGTCGAGTAAATTATAAATTAGTCCCTCTAGTTTCAAGAAACTAATTAATTAGTTTTTTAGGTTTTGACAATTGATTATTTAGTCTCCTAATTAACATAATTAATGATTGCATATTTAACTTCCATATGTTGATGGTGTAATATTTTTTGGGAAAACCTTCAATTTATAGTTTTTAATTTATATATTTATTTTCAATGAAATCCCAATTGTTTAAATTTTATTAATTAGGTCTCAAACATTTCTCACATTTCTCCATTGGATTTTTTATCAATTTTTTGTTGATATTTTCAGTCTAATTTGAATATTTTTTACAATAAAAATGACATCATTTTGAAGAAAACTTGACAGAAAAAATTCATGGACACTAAAAATAGAACATAATTGAGAATGATTAGAAATATTTAGGATTAAATTGATAACATTCAAAGATTTGGGTCCAACTTAGATGAGTAGTCAGATTAGGAACTAAATCGAGATTTCCCTTGTTTTCTTGCCCACGTATCTGCACGACATTAATATAGCCATAGCCCTATCTGCCAACCTATCCAGCTATCCTTAAAACAATCCATAGATTTGTCAAACGGTTGAAGATTTCACCATCATCGGGTCGTATAAGGAATGTAGAAATACGAATTTTTATATATATGGGCATTTCCATAAGATGCGTTTCACCAACTCTATCTCTCTTGTTTTTCTTGCGTTTGCGGTCTTGCTGTTTTACACATACCCTTCTCTTCTTCCTTCAAGAAAAATGGCTGAAGAAACTCCTAAGTCCGTCTATGAGTTTACTGTCAAGGTAATGTTCGTTCTTGAATGCATGTATACTTGTTTCTCGATCTTTTTCAGTGTTTGCTGTGTGGCTGGTGAGGAAACTGGGGAAGAAGTGGAGAACATAGGACGAAGTTTTCAACTCTTCTTGTTTTGTTATGGATTTATTGTTGTTCTGTTTGTTAATTTATTGCTTGAGCTTTTCAGTATTATTAAATCTTTGTTAGTTCTTGATCTTGCTGAACATCATCGGTATTGTTGTACCTTGTACTTGAATGATTGCCTGGGAAACACTGGTGGATATCTAGTGAAATTTTCAGATGTATAGTGAAATTGGTATATTATCATTCATCAGTTGCCAAATCGTTTATAATATTTTTTCTGCGTAAATTTTCTGTATGTATAGACTTTTCCTTAGTGTATTGATCATGGGGTGGAGACAAAATATAGAGTAAACCATAATTCCTAAGGTCTTTTTGTATTTTATTTTAATTATTGCTGCTCCTTTATTTTAGATAATTGAGCAAAAATGAAGCTGGGGTGATATGAATTGTAATTGGCAGATTAGAGGTTGTTAATATGTCAACATCAATTATGTATCTTTTAAGTTAGGGGATTTTATATTTATACAGAGTTGCTAATTGAGTTGTGTTGCAGGATATCCGCGGAAATGATGTGAGTCTGAGTGAATACAATGGGAAGGTGCTCTTGATTGTGAATGTTGCTTCCAAATGGTAATCTAGCATGATCTCTTTCGTGTTCAGCTTTCTTGGCCGCTGATTTCTGGTTTCGTAATTCATTGTCAATTGTCATTTAATTGCTTGCATATTTCATGTTTCCTGAATTAGTTCTATACCCACATCTTCACTTTTGGGCAAAACTAATGTAGGTTGGCAACTACCATTCACATGTAAATGTCTGGGATACCTAACATTGTTTCTCTGACAGCAAGCTTGGCACCAAAATACCTGTCGTCTTCATGGCATGTGTAAAATTTTTCTGCTTCTTGAAGATCTAAGAATCTTAATCTTTTCCGAGTGCAAGGAATCTAATCATCAATGATTAAGGGGGAAAATGCTCGTTCAGTAATATCCAGCTCTGTAGCATCGAGGGCTATTGCTGGCCAATGTTTGGAAAATGACTTCCACTTCAACATTTGAAACAGACCTAATTGGAGTCTTCATATATGCTTATTTTGGTCAAAACTTCGGAATTCTTCATGATCCTCAATATTTTAGCTGAAAACTGTTCTTCTTTTACTCTTTCTTAGTCATATGACTCGTATGGATAAAATGTACCTTTGCAGCTAAATTTAAATTGTTCAAATGAGCCCTTTCACGTTATTGAATCTTATTCTTGATTCTGCAGTGGCCTAACACATTCAAACTACAAGGAATTGAATGTTTTGTATGAAAAGTACAAAAGCCAAGGTTGGTCACTCATTCTCGTAGAGCAACATCTTTATTTTCAATCCATTTATTTGCAATATCTCTATAGATTTGAGATTTTAACTTCTTGGCTGGCACAATTATGGCAGGGTTTGAGATCTTGGCATTTCCTTGCAACCAGTTTGCTGGACAAGAACCAGGAAGCAATGAAGAGATTCAGGATACTGTATGCACAATGTTCAAAGCTGAATTCCCAATCTTTGATAAGGTAATTCTTAATCAATGGAAGACTTGAAAAAAATAGGACAAATTATTGTTACTGATCTCTCAATTCTAAACTTTCACCTTGATGCAATTATCCTTAATAAGGGAACCTAGGACATATTACTTCTTTGAAAGAATGTGGAAATGCTTAGAATATGCTCTATCTGGATATTGCAGATTGATGTGAATGGGAAAAATACAGCACCTCTCTACAAGTTCTTAAAATCAGAGAAAGGAGGATATTTTGGAGATGCCATCAAGTGGAACTTTACCAAATTTTTGGTAAACAAAGAAGGAAAGGTTGTGGAGAGATATGCTCCTACTACATCACCTCTTAAGATTGAGGTCAGATCTTTTTTTATTTTTTTTTCCTGCTACAACATTTGAGTCTAATAATTTCTGTGAATTCCACCTGACATTCCTTCATTCCATTTTGCAGAAAGACATACAGAATCTGCTGGGATCTTCCTAAGGACCAAGGTTTGATGTTTAAACTTGCGAGTCAACTTGTCTTTCAGCTGCCTGAAAACATGAATTTTCTCTTAAGATTATTTTTTTGTTTCATTGTTTTCTTTTCATTTCATTTTTAACACGAAACAAAGCTTATTTCCTTTCCAGTCTCTCCTTCTTTCATGTAGCAAACATCAGTTGAGAAAAAAATCCAGTTAATATACTTTGAATTAGCAGTTGAGAGTGGGCAATTTATGCTGTCAGTATATAAAATTTCAAAAAGAAGCTTAAGATAAGAAATATTTTAGTTCTAGTATATATGTAAGATAGGAAAAATATCTTTCCAAACACATTATAAGGAAAAGTCTGGCACCTTGGACGAATTTCTTTCACTTTGGGTTCCGATTGTCGATCTTTATAATGAAATTCTGTCCTCTGATTGTATCTTCTTCACCTTCATTTTGCAGGACATTGGCATGTACTGGGAATATTGTTTAAGTACGTGATGTTGTGGAATGTTGTTATGTGCTTGTGGCCTTGATTTATGAATTTGTATAATTCATCAGCATGGAAATATTTATTTTCATCATGAATAAGATGTACCTTGTACTTGGATTATTACCTGGGAAACACTGATGGATATCTCTTTTTATGGTTTCGTTGATGGTGAGCATGAATTGGGAATTGACTTGTGAGGACTGGAAAAATATCATCTTATGACGGCAATGGTTATCAATACATGAAGCAATAATACAGATTGGCCCAGGATAAACCGTCCTTATATCACTCTTCTTCCGAACCCTGTTAATTTAATACTAACTTTAACTAATCCGGGAAGATGCAACTTTGAAGAAAGCAAACAAACTAAAAAAGCAACATTCACGTCATCCTTGCCATCCCAGATTCTGGTGTCTTCTCTCCTGATAAACAGCCATTATCTTGGCAACAACTTTCTTCTGAGATCCAAGAACTTTAGAGCAAGGACGACTCATTTATAAGTTACCAATTTGCCATCTGAGTCCCACAATTTAAGAAAATCTAACTTGGAAAATGCTTTCCATGGCAGGAAAGAAGGGTCTAATCCTTGGCGAAAATAATGAACATTAAGTCAAGATACATTAGTTAGCATCTGCATTGTCCATATAGCTCCCTACCCAGAAGGATCTACATAAATACAACTGTTTGAGGACTTCTCGGTAGGTATCTCTGCCATAACATTGACCATATAGCAGCACCTGGTTCATTCAGAAAGCCTTAATGTATTGTCAAGCCCTCTCTGTGCAACTGAAACCAAGACTCTCGTAGAGATTCATGGTTTGTAACAGTATAGGAAAGTTCATCCAAGCATATGTCTTAGTTACTGCTTATACTCATAGCTGATAAAAAACCAGGGGAGTAAACTTAACTGTTTGATCAAAGCTCATCAAGAAACTTCTGCCTTAGAAGGCTCGCAAACTTTGTCCATCTTCTGTAGTAATTCACGAGCCATCTCCAATTTGCCATACTTTTGAAATGCATGCTCAAAAGCAACCCTTACATACATTGGTGGGCAGAAACCTTTCTCAATCATTGATCTCAGTTTCTCACAAGCAGACTCTAATTGACCTGCTTTACAATGCTTATGCAAGATTTGTGAATCCAACTTCCTTTCCAATTTATTAGACAAATCCATTCGCCCATGTTCTCTCAACAGTTTATCCACCAAAGTATATGCATGAAAATGTGGAATCCAACCTAACCCTAACATCTCTATCAATAAGTCATAGGCAACTTCCCAATTCCTAGCTTCGCCATAAGCATGAACCAGTGCGGTATATGTTACACTATCCGGAATGCATCTTTTCTTGTTCATTATCTGAAACACCCTCTGTGCATCATCCAATTTTCCCAATTTACATAGCATACAAATAACAGAATTGTAAACTACCAACTTTGGCTTCAAGTCAAGTGAAAGCATTCTTCCAAACAAATGGCTAACTTCCTCAACTAAGCGATATTCACATAAAGCCTGCATCACAATGGCGTAGCCCTCTGCCACACAACTTAGCTTTCTCTCCTCAACTACTTTCAGAATCTCAAAAGCCTCTGCCATCTTTCCCAATCGACAAAGCTCCGTCATGAGCTGGATTATAACAAATGTGCTAGGCAACAAACCAAGATCATAAACTGCCCAAAACACACCAACAGCAGGACGGATAGCACCGCTCTTTGAACCCAGATTTGGAACTAAAATCGTATAGGGCTTACGAGAACTATTTACCCTAACTTCATTAACAGCCCCTTCTTTTGCACTCAATAAACACAACTCTTTCATAAGAAAATTCACTGCAGACCGCGTTGGCACTAATCCAGCCCTACCCATTTCTTGAAAAACTTCAATTGCAGTCTCAAACCTACCAAATTTACACAACCCCACGAGAACATTACCGTATGAATAAGTATCTGGCGATTCAATTCCTCGAAAAATACTAAGCGCAACATCAATTAGTTCCCCAGATGCTTCCTTCTTACAAAGCACGTAAAGCATATTATTGCACACAAAATTATCAGGTCTACAATTAAACTTCGTCTCCATTTCTTGAAACAAACAAAGGGCTTCTCTAAACCTCCCTTGCCGGCCTAAAAACCTAATACAAATAGAAAATGCACGACATGTCACGCGACCATTTTGAACCAAAACTGTCATCAAGAAACACTTCATATCATCAAAAAGTTTCCTCCTTCCTAGGAAATCAACCATGTACTCAATCACACAATCATCAAACTTAAACCCCATTTGCATTCCAGCCCAAGAAAAGAATTCTAATGTCCTGACTCTCCCAAGCTGCTTATAACTCCTCAAGACTTGTAGCACAATATCAGAATTCAACATTCCTTTATAATCACTTAACAAAGACTCAATCTTTACTGGTTCTGTAACACTATTAGAAAGTAAAGAACAAATTGACGCAACAGGAGAGGTAGCAGTGCTTACAGTCAGCGAAGTTTCTTGTAGGTTTTGCGTGGCAAGTGAAGGTGGTCTCTTGGCAGTGGCGCTTTTTGGGTTTGGGATATTGGGGCTGGATTTTGATGAAAATAAGGAGGTGAGAAGAGAGGGTTTTGATGTTTCATTGAAGAGATTTGAAAAGAGAGAAAAGGCTCCATGGTGTCTAGTTCTGGAACAAAACATCAGACGATTTGGTTCCGATTGAGGTTGTTGCTTGTTGTACTTAGTGCTGATATAGCTTCGATGGTTTTCGGTGTTGGGCTGGGCTAAAAATTTGGTTTCTCGTATCTGTCCATTGATTGCGGAAAAGACCTGGAAAGCCTGAAGCCTGTGCTTAGGCTAACCATTCATCAGGTTATTTTCTTGGAATAACAACAATGCCTCTTGTCCGGTAATTTTGTATCAATTTATGCGTCGATTAAAATTAATTATATTGAATTTTACTTTTTAAATAAAAATAATAACAAATAATTGAGATTTTTTTTATATATTCTTTTGATTTAAATCTTAGAAAATCAATAATGATCTTCTTCTTTTTTATTCAACCAGAAAGATATTTTCAAGGCAACTTATTTTATCTAAATTAAGTTTTTTTTTAGAGAATTTTAAAGATATTGGTAATTAATATTTAGTTAATTTAACACTAAAATTAAGATATATTGAATTAATACTTACCTTTTATGCATACTTTATGATAGAAAATGTAGAAGGAGAAGAGGAAATTAAAAACATATCCTAAGAAAAAAAACTGAAAATTCTTTTAACATACTAAAAAAATGTCAAAATACTTAAGAGAGTTGCCTTCAGGAAAAAAAAAGCTCTAATAACTTAAGCAAGTGATTTTGAATTCGAATCCTTATATATATAAAAAACTCATTGTATAATTATACCCGTTTCATGCGTTCGAGAGATTAGTATAAGCTTTTGGGTCCGGGATACTTAGAAATCTTTAAAAAAAAAAATACTCAAGCTATTTTTTTGGACGTAACTTGATTACGTAAACATTAGTGATTTTGATTTTATATTGCGTACTCTAATTCTCCGAGTATGCCAATGATGTATAAATAAAAAAATAAAAAAATTTATTTTATTAAAAATTAATTATGTATTTACATTCATAATAATAATCATTTGTTATATATATATATATATATAGTTTTTTGATGAAAACCGAATAAAAATTTTAGAAAACCAACCCGAAACTGAAAACTGAATTAAATTCGGTTCAATTTAGAAAACCAAAATAAAAATCTCAACTTGATTTGGTTTTTCAGTTTAAATTGAATATTACTCGCCTCTAGCCATGTGTTCATTGAAAGAAGATATCATGTCCATGAACCTATGATGATTTGGAGGGAGAAGAAAATTTATGATTCCTGCTCTGCATGCATGATTTGATCAGTGGATCTCTGCAGGTAATTGAACCTAATTAATATGGCTACAAACATTGGGCCAAATGTTTTTTCCTTTTTTCCTAATTTCTTGTTTCATAACTTACGATTAGAACCAAATTTTTTAGGATTAACATCTTTACATTTTTTTAATCTATTCCTTGAAAAAGAAAAAGTCTTTTAATTTATCTTCATATTTTGAGCTAGTTTCTAATTTATATTTTTAATTAAAATTTTCAGTTAAATTAAGCCAAATTAAACATATGATCTGTACATAGTATGTTATTTGATAAAATTATTTTTATTATTTGATACAAGTGATCTATATCTACTAATATGAAGATTAATTTTTAAAAATTGATCGAAAATTTTGACAAAAAAGATAGACTATAAACAAGTTCAAAATATAAAGATAAATTAAAAACCTTTTTTTAGGAAAAAATTGATAAATTGACTTATTATATAAAAATGTGAGGGCATTAACCTCGAATCTTAAGGATATTGCTATAAGTGTTATGATTCGATGGAAAGATAATTGAATTTGTTATATGTTAAAACTCTTGAGGATTAGAAACACAATAACAATATGAAATTAAACACTTAAGATAATATATATTTATATTATCTTAAGTGTTTAATTTCATATTTATATTATCTTAAGTGTTTAATTTCATATTGTTATTGTGTTTCTAATCCTCAAGTAACTAACAATATTCACTTTATAAAAAATAGATAGATAAAAAAAAAAAAAAAAGTATGAGTGAGAGATTTTTATTAAAAAAAAAAATTGTGTTTTGGTAGAAATATTTTTGTCAACTTTAGACACATCCACATGTAATTTCCTTTCTATTTTATTTTTTCCCCCTTAAAGTGAACTTGTGGAGTAATGTCAATAGATACCTTTTTAAGTGTTTTAAAATTTTTCCTCAAAATTCTTAATTAGTAAAATCTATTAGAAAAATCTAATGCTACTAAATATGGAAAGAAAATAAATAAAATTCTAAAAGTAAATTATAAATTAGTCTCTTTAATTTTGAAAATTGAATTAATTAATTTTTTATTTTTCAAAAACTAATTATTTACTAGTTCTTTCGGTCTATTTTATATTTTTTATATATTTTTTTAAAAAATAGAAAAATAATAAATAAATAAATAAATATCATAAAAAGATTAACGACAAAAGAAAAACTAAATAATTATTTTCTGAAACAAAAAAAACTAATTAATCTATTTCTTAAAACTAGAGGGACTAATTTCCTATTTCTATCGTTTCAAATTAGATCTGAGTAAGTTTAATCATAATAAACTCGCTAATAAGTAATCATAAAATTTCCTAATTCACGTTATATCATGTAATTTGTTTTTCTCAACAAGCAAATAGTAATACAGTTGGATGCTGCCAAAATTTTACTTTCGTATAAAAAACTAGTCTTTGCCACCCAAATCTCTCTTACCCGTTTCTGGACATTATTCTTTGCTAAAATTGTCTAAACCATGACAAATGACACAAAAGCTGAGTCTATGCATGTTGGCTATGCCTATTTTCAGGGCTATCCATGCAAATAAATTTTGATTAAAATTCTTGCAAGTGGATGTGCCAAGTTCGTTTCTTAATGATTAATTATTCCACTAGTTGCTGATTTAGTAAACCACTGTCACATCTTTGATTGTTTAATTAAGCGTCTAAATTATCTTTCTAATCATTTTCAATTATTGAGCACCATTCATCTTCAACCTCATTATCTTGTTCTCACTGTTCTTGATAAGTCCCAAGGTGCTTATCTTCAGGGTTGAGTTGAAGGGTCAACTTGCTTCCCTTTCAGAAATTTAAATGTATAAGCAACCAATTAGTAAGAGGAAAACAACTGCTTGTTTATCCTTGATAAGTCTATTCAATCTTATGATAAGCACAGAAACAAGTAGAGAAATAAATGTTTGTCTTGTACCACAGACAATTCTCCCTGGATTTCATGACAATGGAATACCACTTGTGGGGCGATTCAAATTTGGCTGCTGCTGCTGCTGTTTGCTTCCAGAATTACGAAACTTTGTAGACAGGGAACAGCAGAATTCAATTCCAAAACGACTTAATTGTTGCTTAATAACAAATTTTGGAAACTTAGTTGCCACGGAAGAGCAGAATTCAATTCTAAAATGACTTGATTTTTGTGTAATGGATTATCCATTAAATTGCAGAAACTAATATCGATATCGCCTGCAGTTTAATGAGTTATGCAAAGCCAACACCGGCGAGTAAAAGTCAATAAGGCAGTATATTGAACCATGCATATAAACCAATTAGAGTTTTTAGTAAATAAATATTAATCTCATCTCTTATATTTGAAACCAATAATAAAAAATCTAATAAGAACTCCGAATATAACCATAAAATAGATATAATTATCAATCACGTAAATTTTAATATCATTTTATCATTCTTATCTTTCTATTCTATTTTCTTGCTTATTTCGTTTCCTATCATTATCTGCACAATAGTTCATCTTTTCGAACCCATCAACGCAAAAATCCCAAGTTCTCTCTGTTGTATGGAGGGTGTTTTTCTCCTTTTCAAGGTATCCTTTTTATACGGTTACGACTCAAGAGAGATGAGGAATCCATCATGAAAATTGTTCTTGCTTGAGGCAAACGATTCCCTCAAGGACACAGCTATGCAAAAGAATAAGACAGAGAAATCTAGAGAATCCATTAATTGCGTCAAGAATATCTTAACGCTAAACTAATTGTCAAGAAAGAATACATGAAAGCAGATTCCACTAATAAATTACAGAAAATTCTTGAGGAACTTTTTCTACAGTTGAGGATCTCTTGCATTCTAGTGCTTTCATCTGCTACTCATCCAAATTGACATGGAATAGTTATCTTTCCAGCCATTCCTTCTAGCTGGAGAAAGGTCTAACCTAGCAGTTGTCAATACCTCTGCTGTTGTGTAGAGACAGCCGCATAGGAGGCACTTTGTGGCGGTTTGTGTGCGGCAGTTGCACAAGCCACCACCGCTTGTGCAACCGCCACTAACCTTCATAGGGAAGTTTTGACCACCGGCCTGTACAAGGCAAAAAACAGTGCCAGTACAGGTGCTTTAAGTTGTAGTTAAGTTAGTAATCTTCCCAGAATAAGTGAACAACCTCAACCCTAAAGCATCCATCGCAAGATAACAAACAATTTGCTTTGATATAACTGCAAGTACATAGAAAGATAAGTATCATATGGATACAAATCATAGCATTCTACAACGTATAAAGAAAACATGAACCTTCAGTTTCCGAGTCAATGCTTCATTTTTACAACAAAAGAAAGAAGAACAAGCAGTAAATCCATCCACATGCTTGGGCAATAGAGTCAATCATGAAAAACTGTGTTAGCAAATAGCAAATATAGTTCAGCACATGCTTGAGCTTGTTCTTCTCCACTTCTTTATCCCACATTCTTTATTTGTATCCTCCACCACACCAGCCAAAATGGCATAGTCAATCTATCCATGGGATGGATAAACACAAGTTAGCGGTCAGCAGTAAGCAAGCGTTGTTAGCATTAGCAGATCGTAACAGCCATTTACCGATCAACAGTAGTCAAAACAAGATTAACCAGAGACTCAACGCAGTTAGATTAGTTACCTCAGCAATTGCAGAGGTCTGGAAGTATTTAGTGAAGGCTCTAATGGAGAGGCTCTCACCACTGCATAAAAACCAACAACTCAGATTGGAATCTAATTATAACTACATCAAACACAAACTACAAGCAAAACACCAGTATGGAGGAAAAACAACTTTATTCAGATCACAATTTATTTTCAATATTCTCAATACAACAGTCACAGAAATGTTTCTCAGTCGCCGCGAATTAAGTCAGACTCAAATGGTATGCGGGTAATCTCAAACCTGAACCATTTCTCTTCTTCCTCTTCTTCGTCTACTTTAAAAGCAGCCCATCATTGCATATGCTCTGACTGGTCCATTCCAGCTAAAGGAAATGCAGGAGCTTTATTTCCTGCATATAATTGCCCTGGAATGAATCAGTGGAGCTCAAGCACTAGATGCAGGTCCAGGCTATTGATTGCCCCATGCCAAGAAAAATGTGCATCCACTTTTCCCAAGAAGATGAACCTTTTGATTTCAAAATGTCCTTCAGCTGCATAATCGTACTGTACATGCCACAGCCTGTGCCCAATATTTGAGTCTTGCTTTAACATCTTCAGGATGGTCACCTGTATGAGTAAGCAGAGAGTTAAAATCACATAACTCATCAGGTTATCATAAAATCAAACCATAGTGCATAAATTATGGCCCTCAACACGTCTTTCCAGAAAATTCTTGGTGTGGTGTAAATAAACTCAGTTTTGAACATGTGTTCAGAGGAAGCAAAAGCTAAATGTATCACACGTATAGGTTTCTTAACCGGGCCATAGCCAAGTAGATCATAGATCTTCACATTTGCAGAAAGATAGACCAAATGTTAAAAACAATGGAAGAACACAATGATCACATCAAACCTCAAAACTAAGACTTTCTTATCAATTAAAGAATACAAACCATCAAAAACAGATCAAAAAATCACCGCAATCCAGGTAAAGCTCTCTAGATAACTTCTCAAAGAGCCCAATTCATCATTTATAAATGAGTTACAGATCTAAAACATACAAAAATTTGAACTTCAAACATAAAGAAAAAAGTTCAAATATTTAAAATCATATTAATCACTAGGACCATAAAAAATTTGAACTTTCAAACATCAAAAACCAGATCCAAAAAGAAAAATATCTACTTGAACGAACCAAGTACCAAAAACAAATTTCAACTCACCAGGACTAGAGATCTTCCAATTAGCAATAGGACTAGAACTCGCAGCCTCAGCCGCTGCAGGAGAACTTCTCTCAGGAGATTTCTGGTGCTCATCAAGAAACTTCTGACTCATTGAATAACAAAGTTCAAGGGCTGGCAAAGTATTACAAAGTTCAGGGATCTCATCATAACTAAAACCAAACCCAAGATCCAAGCACCCTTTTAACTCATCCAGATCTTCATCTGTCAAACTCTTTGTGTTCTTCAACTCATCTTCGCTACTGTTACTGCTTCCTTCCACATACCCTTCAAACAACACTTGACTCTTTTTTCTCTGGATCTTCCCAAGAGAACTCTTGTTGAAGTTTTTGGTACAGGTGTTATTTTGGCTCAGGTTTTGCCACACTTGTTCAGTCTCTTGATACAAAACATCATCATCAAGAGATTCTAGGTTTTGGGTTTGATCATTTTCTTGATTTTGTTGAAATTCTACGATGTTTCTTGAAGAAACCCGAGATTCTTGTTCACAAGAGATGGCACCCATGTTTTGTAAAAAGGCTTTCTTTCTTTTTCTTTCTCTCTCTCTCTCAAAGGTGTTTGAAAGAGTGCGAGAGATGCTGCTTATAAAGCTGTTCCATCTAACAAGAGATAGGTTATTCGTATTATTTAATCCTTATATTATTCAAAAACTTTATTATGCTCCCTTTATTATTTATTTTTAAATGTCAACCATATATTTCACATTAGCAATATAAACTCTCATTAGCAATTGTGTTATTCTTTCACTACTTATTCTTTTTTTTGTTACAAAACTTTTCTAAACAAATGAAAAAATAAAAAAATAAACTAATAATTAATAAAATAAAAAAACACATTTAAAATTCATAAATCGAATCCTATTCACATCACATATCTACGATAAAATATTTAATTAATAAATAATTTAAAACCTTATTATTAAGTATTTTTTTCTTGAAAATAAGATCGAAGAATGAAATTTATCGTTCAAATTTTGACATAGGATGTTTACCTAATTTATTTTCACCGAAATGATCAGAAAGATTGACCATGCATTGCATAACGAGGATGGTGAATCATAGGGATGAATTTGATAACAAAAATACTCGAGGAACCATATTTAAAAAATCGAAAATAAAGTGAGAGATCCAATATTGATGGGTTACTAGATTTTGGTATGATGTCACGATGAATAATTGGTATGTATGTATGTATGGGCATGCATTCTGGTGGATATGCATACATGTTGAGGTGGCAATTAAGACAGCTTTCGATAGGTAAAGGTTGGTGATGATGACTGGCAACAGAAGAGGACACGTAGTCTGGAAAAGAGGTGGGGTAGGGTCCACCACGTGTATTGTGTATAATGGTGTAGTTGGTTTTTTTTGTTTGCGTGTGGAAAATGTGAAAGCACGGAAAGGAAGCAGCTTTTTGGCTGTGTTTGGGCATGGTGAGAAAGTGCTTTTCCATACCTTGAAAGCTGAAATTTTACAGAAAGTTGGATTATCCTTTTTGGTTTGGCTTTGTTCCTTTTTGGTGAAATTTTATTGTCATTGTGTGAGTTCATTATCCTGCTTCCCCACCTTGCAATTTGATCTATCTCTCCGATTTGATTAAATACAAGTCATATGCATACATCGGATATCATATGTATAACCAAATTAAGAAATTCATAAAAAATTTATTTTTGCAAATTTGACATTAATAGTTAGCAAGATAGAATGATGAAATCATATTACGATAACAGATTAAATTAATTATAGCTACAAAGATAAGTAATTATTCTAATCTTTTATCATAACTTCACTAAAATAATCATTTTCGTGACGATTTTAGTAACCATTACTAAATATCTAAAATATAATGAAATTCACGAGAGTTTATTCAGACCATCATAAATTCTATGACTCTAGCACTGTTAAAAACCGCAAATGCTAATTTTTGTTATAATGTCTTATGATGAGATTTTTTCAAGATTAGATAATATTTTGAAAATAAAATTTGAATATGCGATTTCTTATTATATCTTTATCTAACTATGAAATTGTAATCTTTAGATATTTGAATAATACTGTAGAAATCAGTATCATAGATATATATATTACAAACAAGAATCTTAATGTCAGTCATCATATGGGTCAAGAATTATTCAATGCTGACAATTGATATGTATCTAGGAAGACTACGGAACCATGTATATGATTAAGCATTATCCTTAAATACGGAGGATTGATTTGAACCTATATGCTTGAGTATATAGCTTCATTTTTCTTTCTTATCTCCAAGAGAATCCAACAAAAGTAACATGGCATCTTTGCGGCCGATCTGATAAACATTGTATCATACTAGCTAGCATGTGGAAGCCATGATTGGAAACTATGGAGTATGGACAAAATTTTCTATCCATAGCTTCGTCAAGCATGCAATTAGTCCATGATTGCTCTCTAAATTCGAGATTAAATTAAACTAAGCAGGTGATTAGTGCATGTTACAGGGGAAAAATGTCAAAGAGGCTCACTCTATTGCTACATGCATTTTGCTGGCATAACCCTAAAATCTCAATGGAGTTGCAAACTTGCCCAACTTTCTTCAACTGTTTACTCATTAATGATGTCACATGAAGTTGGATTTTGGTCGCCATCTTGTTTAAGCAATACAATGGTTGTTAGATGATTTGCAAATTGCAACAAAAGCATATTCATTTTATGTGGTTTTGATTGAGGATTGCGGTTCTTTAGATCATGTGGTTTTCATCCTATTGTTGCATGCATGTCTTCTACATGCCTTGCAATTTTTGGAGAGTGCTTGAGAAAGAGTCAAAGAGGGTAAACAAAATGCAAGATACGAACGAGCTTATACTCTAGTGTTATTCGTTTTTTATAATAAAAAATCATAAATTCAAATTCTAATAAATTAGTTCTATTAAAAATTTTAGATATTTGAGTTAAAAAATAATAATAAAAGACATGATACTGATCTAGATCTCCTTTCAAATTTGATTTAGATATAAATATTTGAAGACAATTGAACATTAGTTGTTCATTTTCTAAATTTATTAACAAATTCTCAGATTGAGATGGGTTGGAAATTGATTTTGTTGGAATATTTATATCCCTTGACGGAATAAATAAATAAATAAATAATCAGCCCCTACAAAATTCTATAAAGATTGGCTTATAAGGACAATTAAAATTCCACTTACGTAAACCATCTTAACTCGTAGCAAAACCATGAGCCCTCAAAAACCATAACGTGAAAAGCTTAAATTTTTAGAAAGATTGCTTATAAGGACATTCAAATAGCTCTTGACAAACTATAACGTAAAAAATTAAACTGTTAGATTAGATTTCAAAAATAATTTTATATTATTTTTTAATATATTAAATTTAATAATTAAAATTGAATTTTATTTAAAAACTAAAATTTTATGATAAATATATTTTTTTCAATTCTATACATTATTTATTCGATATAGAATTAATTTTCTAATATTTTTTTATCAATTATTGTTTATATTTTAAGATCTGTAACGTGGTTTGACCTCTAAAATTCTAGTGTTTAGACCAATATATTTTTATCAATACCAGTTACATACATCCCAAAGTGGACTATGGTATCAAACACACACACATATATATATATATAGAGAGAGAGAGAATACGTTATTACCTCTTAATTTTCTTACTCATTTCTGTGTGCTTGAAATTGTCTCTTAAATTGAAGCTAAGCAAGCTCATCGAAGCAGTAAAAGAGGTATATTCACATGGGAATCGTATCACATCCTGCAAGGCTGTAAACCTGTACAAAACCAACTAGCATTCAAGTCGTCTATTCAAAACTAGAAATCTGTCATTGAACAGAAACGTAATCATTCAAAATTCTCTGCTCACTCCATGTGTGGATCTTTTCCTCTTTGTTTACTTGTCTTGTATCAATTCATTTCACTTCGTTGGTCCAACTTCTACCATCAAACTTATTGATTGAACGTAAAAAACAGACCAGAGGAAGACAGCAATAAAGACAGTCTAGGTAAGGTGATACCAGAAGAAAACACAATGCAGGTAGACATAGAAGTAGAAAATGATGGGTTGCTCGAAAGAATATTGGCCAAACCTTTTTTTTTTTTTTTTTAATGGTGGAGAAGGGAAAATAATTAACTTTTTGGATGACCACCCAATTGGGGATCAGCAGGATCACGTGGTCTGTTAAAAGGATAAGGACTAGCTAGTTCTGATCCAAAGTTCTAAAACTCCAAAAATGAAAGAAGACAATTCAATCATCAAAAGCAACAAGAAATATATACCATGCATTCATGCATGCAACCTGATTGACAAGGGACATGGAAATATATAAATTTTAAAACCCTACATTTGTCCCTGCGGGAGAAGCACGTAAACCACAGCTTTTTAGATTAAATAGACAACCCAAGTAATACTTAGATTGTTTTTGTGGCTGTAATTATGTATATAAAACTGGATTCACATGAAACCAATGTCATGTTATTGTCGAGAACATAAAGCAAAATGCTTTAAGAAAATGATATATATGTAGTTGTTAAATTAAGATAATTCATATTGAGTTCTACTTGTGAAATTTTGGTGGATTATTCATTCTCAAACTTATATTATCATATTATTTTTGTATTTATTCGATCTCTGTTGGATAATCTTCGTAATATTTTATCTCCTTTACTATCTTTTTATCTATTTTTTAAGATTTATCGAGTAAATATAATTTTAGAATTTTTACTAAATCGTCAAATATTTTTAAAATTATGATATCATGTTAAATTTTTTTATTTTTATTACATAAAAAGCAAATATTTTCATAAATTTTAACACCGTAAATTTGTCCCAGCATGAGAAGCACATAAACTACAGCTTTTTAGATTGAATAGACAACCCAAGTAATATTTAGATTGTTGTTGTGGCTGTAATTATGTATAAAACTGGATTCACATGAAACCAATGCGATGTTATTGTCAATAACATAAAGCAAAATGCTTTAAGAAAATGATATGTAGATATTAAATTAAAGATAAATCCTATTGGCTTTTATGGAGAAAATTCAAATTTTGTGGAATTTTGATGGATTATCCGACTCTCAATCTTATACTTTCATATTATTTTTTCATTTATTTGATCAATATTTCATATTATTTTTATATTTATTCGATCGATGTTGGATAATCTTTCTAATATTTTCTTTTGTTTATTATTTATTTTTTGAGATTTATCGAGTAGACATAATTTTAAAATTTTTATTAAATCATTAAATATTTTAAAATTATAATATCATATTAAATTTTTTATTTTTATTATTTGAAAAAAAATTGATTTCTAATTTATTGGAACCTCAAACAATTATCTGGCTAGCTGGCACTTACAATTTTTCGTCGATCATCAATCTTTGCCGTATTCTCACCATCATTTTCATCCATGCTTAACCACCAATCCAATATCACGCAATATTGTCTCAGTAAAAGACATAAATCTTGAACGCAGAGCAGACCACATGCAGCACCAT